GATACACATATGGATATCGAGTATTCTATAAATATATTACTAACAATAGGTTTAATGTCAAAATAGCTACAACTAATGTATAAATACATAAGAATTGTACATTTTAACGATATATATGAAGAAATATATTACAATTAATATAGTGGAATGCATAGATATCATGCAATTTTATTGATACACATCAATCAAGATTCGAAGACACAAATCATATAGATTTTTACAAATTAATACATGCACAAAACCATTATTATCTTATTTTATATTAAAGTCTAAGGCACAAAACATATGCAACTATTATATTTCAATTATGATATCAATTTTTCTATTTTACTACTTATAATTTTTAACATTAACAAAAATGTCAACTAAAAATTAATTCTCAAAATTTTGGTAAACAATATTTTCATTTTTGTAAACAATAAATATGTTATCATAAAATGAAAATCAAAATATTAATTGATAATTTATAAAAATATATAATCCTAACTTAAAATATATCAAATATATTTAAATTTCAAAGATACATATTATATGAAATCATAAGTATAGATTACTACAATAATTATTTCATTATTAATATTATTAATTTTATAAATTTCTAAAATAAAAAAATTAACCTAGATACATGAAATTAGATATAACCTAGAACTTAATTTAAAGCATACTAAAATAGTGAAATATTTGTTACATTCAATTAGTAATATCCTAATTAATAGTTCAGGCATACATGCTTGAGTTGAACCACAACTTAATCCATGCCATGCATTTTGACCGACATGCATAAAATTTGAAGTTCAGAATAGTATCATCAGGCATTATGAAGGCTCCCATGTTCACTTCCCCTGCAGTATTGCCATCTCCTAATGGAGAGAACCTTCTTAAAACTCTCCTATCAATCATGTTAATTTCCAGCTTTTTCCCAGGTATCAAGTATGATTTTTGGGCCATCTTCCACATTTACCCCTCCCAAATAGCAGATTCTACCACTTCATTTCTCATGCCTTCTTTATTCTTGTATGCATGTGCCATCTCAAAGTCAGAGTAGTAATCCCGGCATTTACCGTTAGATTCCGAAGCTTGCCAAGTAAGCTTCTCCTCGAGATAGGTGAATGGAAAGAGAAGGAATACAGGGATAAGACAAAAAAGGGGAGAACCCAATGAAAAGGACACGTGTTGTCATTGAAATGCAACACATGTCGAAAACCGAATCTATTTCTAAGCACCTCAGTCATTATAAGAATATAGTTAGATCGGAGTTATTGAAGATAAATATATATTGGTTGTTGGGATTTTATGTAAATATTATGTAATAAAAATTTATTTAGAGACTAGAGTTCAACACAAGTCCAATGTTAAGGATAAAGTTCCTAGCCCAAAGCCTAGGCCCACCCAAGGTAATGCCAGAGCTTGCCGGTTTGATTGGGAAAGCCATTGGACTGGTTGAGAAAGTAGGGTGGCAATTTCTATGATAGAAAAAGAAATGATAACTGAAAAACTTTACACAATCAGAAACCCATGTGAATTTGAATGAATACCAGTTGTTTGGTTATCAATTGGATAATACTGGTTGATTGGTTATTAGTTATTAAACTTTTAGGTAATGATACATTTTCGGCATCATAAATGGACTCTTCTGAAGAAAAAAAAAAGAAGCAAAAAGATATGAAGGTTTGGGATCGAGGAGAAAATGACAGGAAACAAAGAGTATTTTTTATAGAGGACATGGCATCAACTTACCTCTAACCGTGCTTAGAGGTAATTAAAATGGATTCTGAAATTTCAAAGCAATTATTTCTAGTTAGGAGCAATGTGCATGCAGCATGGGCTATGTTAAATGATGTCGAAGAATAAGAGACCTATGACATTCCAAGAGTAGCTCCTAATTGGTACTATCAAAATAAATTTTGTCGCATGGGATGTGTTCAGTTCTAATCATGGTTAGGAATTTTATCGATGAGGTGGTAGATTATAAGGCTTACCACTTAGGTTCTTCGACCATCAATATGGCGGAAGTTTGGGCCGCTTAGGAAACCACAACCTGGCAATGAATTTCCCGAACCATTCCATCATCATTGAAGGCGACTCTTTGATCGTGATTTCCTGTCTGAAGCGGTTCATTGACCCACCTTAGAATCTACGGAACATCATTGAGTGTATGGATTTGAAGAATCAAGCAAATGAAGATTTGGTCTACAATCACATGTATCAGGAAGCTAATCAAGCGGCATACTACCTCGCCAATCATGCCTTTTCTTCCCAACAAGGTATTGTAAGTCTCAATCTCAGTGAACTTCCATGGAATTTAGCTTGTATTTGTTTGTCTGATTTGTGTAGCCCCTCTCATTTCTATCAAAAAGAGAGAGAGAGAGAGAGAGAGAGAGAGAGAGAAAGAGTAGCTCCTAATTGAAAATTTATAGCCTTCTTAAAATTAAAAATTAATCCAGATTAATTTTTACTTCATTTTGTTTCAGATCTTATTTTACTTCATTTGTGCTGCAATCAAATAAGATAAGTTAAATTTTGAAACAAAAATAACTCAGAATTTGAATCCAAATTTGCACTATCTTAATTTTGCAACAATATAAGTAAATTTGCACTACAACCAAACACGATCTTTAGTACAAAATTCAGAAAAAAAAAAAGTGTTTGAAATGACTATAGTTTATTATGATGAGTTATAAGAGATGGGCAACAAGCTATGTGTGGCAAACAATAGAGAGGAGATAAAAAATAAATTATTCAGAAAACATAAAATATGTTATAAAGGTTTTAGTATTTTAGAATTTCCAATTAGGATTAAGTGAAGTGATTATCTTAATGAAATAAATGATAGTATGTGGTGGTAGCTATACAACTATCATGCATATAAATAAATCAAAGTATGATATATATATATATATGTTATGTACTATAGAGTTGGGTTGGTCGGATTGCCCGAGGGGTCAACCCTAACCCAAAACAACTTAAAGTCAAGTTCATAAATTTCAACCCTAACCCTAACCCGGGGATCAACCTGACCCAACCTAACCGACTTTTTCGGATTGGATTAGGGTGGGATTTGGGCTAACCCAGCTCAAGTTGCAGCCTTGTTTTGTATGTATTTGCACTTCATTTTCAAACTATGTATTATGATGAAGCACTACAGCCGTACATTAAGAATGTTTTCTATGAACAGTAATTGAGATATTCCTAATGTGTAGTTGTAGTGTCTTGTGGTTAGGCTTGTTGGTAGTAGATCCAAGCTTTTGAATACATGATTGGATTGAATTCAGATTTTGGAATTGCATTCCTTTATTTATATACAAATTTAGTCTCCAACAACGTGCATTTTGAATATTTGTTGCATGTTAGATCAAAATTTTAACCAATTATATTATGTTATATGATATATTTATTTTTCTTTGGTTCATATTTTATATGATGTATTTATCATTAAATACTTTAACACCCTTAAAGATTCAATTGTAACATGTCTATTGTTCAAGATTTTGCTTCATGATGCAATTCATGCATCATAGATTTTATCTTAGTCCAATTAAATTTTATAATAGACATATAATACAATTATATGTATATATACATACATAGTGTACATAATTATATAAATTTTATAATTAATGAATTCAATGTTTTATATTTGTAAAAAATATTTTATAATTATATATTAAAGTGATTAACTTTTTAAAACTTTTTCTCTATTTAAAAAAAAATTAATGAAGTAAACCCATATAAATCCAAATCTGATCCAGGACCCCTAGGTCCAATCCATTTCGATTCGGATTTGGATCTAAGGTTCAAATAATTGAACCAAATTTTAATATGGTTGACCGCAATTTGAATCCAACTCATTTACAACAAAATTGATCTCTTTCTAAGATCAGGCCAAACATAGCGAATATCTCTTATACATGTATGTATGTTAAAGGGAAAGTGTTTCCCATGTCCAATTTGATGCCCATGTTTTGATAGAGTACTTGTCAAGAGATCTCATCTCATTACATCATTGCCCTTAAATTATCACATTAAAACCACATCAGCTATTTCAAAATCGCCATTATTTTGCTGTTTGGTTCAAATCGTCAAAAATGAATTATTAGACTGTATTTAGTTGCAATGTAAATAAATTTGTACTGATGCAAAATCATGACAGTACAAATGATTTGAGTGTAAATTCTGATTTTTTTTTCTAAATTTTAACTTATTTTGTTTAATTGCAATACAAATAAAGTAAATTAAGACACAAAATAGAATAAAATAAAATCTAAAACAAAATTAAACAAAAATTTGCATTTTTTACATTTGCACTCTCATACATTTACATTTGTATTAGTGAAAATAAATTTACACCGTAATCAAACACAACCCATGAAAAGAGAAATCACCAAAAATAATGATTCCTTGTAAGGCCGGTTATCATTATTTTTGGATGACGTGACATTTGACATGGATAATGAGATAATTCCCATCAACGTAAACTGGTTTTTGAAAAATTGGCTGACGTACCAAATAAGTAATTTCTCTAATTTTAAAAATCTGATAAGAAGAATCAGCATCAATCCCAAACTTCTCCTAATTAATTTTAATCCCATTCATCAAGGGTCTGTTTGGCATCATTGTCGGAACAACGGCATCACATCGGAAAAAATGGTACTCCAAGAAACAGGTATTTATTTGAAAAAATGGTATTCTAAGCCATGCCTCGAAAATCGGGAAGCCATGACTTAGAGCAACACCAAATTTGGTGTTTCCTGGAACTGCAGCTCATTGCTGCCAACAGGACAGTGATGTGACACTGGATCATAGGTACCAGTGCTGAAAATGTTTACTGGAAAAATGATACCAAATAGAAAAAATTATTGTTGCTCTAGAAAGCGTCCTACATTCCAAACAATCCAAGCCACGCATCAGCAACACCGTTTCTCAGCTGCAAGCATTAATGCCAAACATATACCAAATAATAAAAAGAACACAAAAAAATTGAGAAAAAATGCAATGGAATTAAAAAATTAAAAAGGAAAAATAACAGAAATTAGAAAAAATAGAGCTCACAAGTCACAAGTGACAATTGCCTTATTAGTTGAAGGATCCCCTAAATAAATTCGTCTCTTTCTAAAACTTCTACATAAAATTAACTGAAAACTAGTGAGCTCCCTTTCATGAACATAGCTTAGAAGAAGAAATTACGCCCAAATATATTATTTATTTTCTTTGTTTTTGCATTATTTTCTATCCTTTTTTCTAATGCTAGGGTTTGTCACCGCCTTTTCTCTGTATTCACATCTCGCAAAGCCTACTAAACCCTAATTTTTTTCCTAATCAAGTATTAAGAACAGTGGTTTTGTAAGATCGACGGCACGAACAAGTCCAAATCGCCGAAGATTACATCGTCACTGTCCGCGTAACTGCTGGAATCATGACTCTCAAAGTAGGTCTGTATGTCGTCAGGGAAGCTAAATCGACGTGGATCAGGGTCGGATTCCGGCGGAGTAGATGGGCTATCGGCCGTCGCTTTCCTCTCGAGCATCTCCTGGAACTTCGGAGACTGAGGAAGAAGCCCCAACGTCGATGAGTTAGTATCGACGTCGGAAGGCATTGCGTTAACTACGGTCTGGCCGCCGTCGCCAGAGTTCTGGTGGTGGAGGAAGCTCGGTTCGTGCTCGTGATCAGGGTTTTGGTCCGGATTAGAGTCAGGGTTGGGTTTGTTCTCCGAGTCGTCGGGTTTGGGTCTGAGGCATTTGATGTAACGGCTGAGGTCGAAGTTAGTAACGGCGTTAAGTCCCCGGTACTCGATTGCTGCCATGTCGTATGCAATCGCAGCTTCCTCTTGGGTGGCTGCAGGAAATAAAGCAAAATTGTTAGGGGTAATATGGGAATAAAAGGTGAGCAATCATTAATTAGTGGATTCAGCGGAGTTGGGGAAGGGGGGTTGAGCAGTTATTTATTTCTGAAGTTTGAAATCTTTTAAGTAGCCGTTGGGGGTTGTTGTCGTTGGTGTCTCCCAACCATCCGGATTTGACTGATTTTTAATTTTACCCTTCTTTATTGATTGTCAAATGACAATAATAACCCTATAATGTAGTGAATCAATGTCACAAATGTCTCCTAATCAGACAACAAAAATATGTTGCCGACTTGCCGTGGACTTATTACATTCACCTTATAGCCAAAGGTGATGAGATGAGCCTTTTCTTAAAGAAAGTGGAAGGTTTTGTGATAAAGAAAGGAAACAGTACATTCTATCATTTTGATAGATACATACAATATATACATCCACATCATAAAGAGATCTCTGAAGATTAGCTGTACTCTAGCTTACCCAACATGAGAAAGAATGGGAACAAGAAAGAAAAGCTCTACTAAATCCAACTCAATGTGTGTTTGTGCTGCTGTGTATGGAGAGAGAGAGAGAGGATCCAAAATATGCCGAGTTATTTTGTATAAAAAATATGGTGAGAGACAGTTTTTATTTTTTAAGTTATTAAGGTGATAGAAAGGTCCCTTGTCCCCTAGTTATTGCCTAGGTGATAGATTTTTTTCTTAATAAAAATTATGAATTGTAAGATAATTTGGTCATAAATTTTGATATCGGCTTCAGTCAGTGCAAGCCCCTTTCAATAGCTTTTATGGTCTTGCATTGGGAATATTTTCACATGAAATATATAAGTAGAATGTAAGGTTGTAAAAGGCATTACAGGCTATGCCTTGCACTGACTGAACCCTATGGAAATAGTAACTAACAATCGTCTTTCAGTCCATAGTCTTATAGTATAAATCATGGTCTATCAAACCGGACCAGACCAGAAAAACTGGGAAACGGTCAGGTGATCAGTTCCATTTTATTTTAGAACCGTTATTTCCCCAAAAAATCATTGATTTGGTCAGTAAATCATTTTTCTACCAAAAAAAGGTCAGCAAACCACTGACTCGGGCGGTCGAACTATTCAACGGTTTGGCCGGTTTTTATTTTTTTTTTAACTTTCTTATTTTTTTTGTCAAAATTGGCTGCCCATTCGATTCGAATGGTCGGACCATTCGACCTGAGAACTGGACTCCTGACCAGTTTGGTTTTAAAAACCTTGGTATAAAGTTTATATTAAAACATAGAAAACAATATATTCATGAGAATAAAAAGAAAGAAAAGAAAATTCAGAAAAACTACACGGATTGAGCATATGTTTTTGTTTTGAAGTTATAAGGGTTCAAGAAAGTATACATCAACATGTGTCTTGATTGGACCCTAACAAATAAGAAAATATATTGAAAAGAAAAAAATAAAAGCCCCATTTGGTTCGCAAGAACAGGGATCTAGAATTGGAATCAGAATGGGCTATTCCGATTCCAACTATTTGGTTGGGTGGAATCGAAATTCCATTCCCATTCCTGCTGGAATGGCATTCCCCCATTTGAGGGAATGGTCATTCCTGGCCTCTCCCTTGGAAATTGTATCTCACTCCTTCTGATTCCAATTCTTATTCCAATTCCTATCTGAACCAAACAGATTATGAGAATGGATAATTCCAATTCTAATTTCGAAGGATTTCGATTCTGATTGCAACCGTAAACCAAACGGATCCTAATGTTTACACCCACAAAATGAGTATTTAGTTTAGTAATGTATAATTGTCTATTTTAGTATATAATATAATCTTAAAAGATAAAGGTTATAAAAATACTTCATATCACTATATACAAAAGGGCATATAGGTGCTTAGGTGTGACGAGTAAAATAATCGGGTGCTTAGGTGTCACGATGACAACTATGACTGGAATTTGGAGGTAAAATAATGTGGACCCTACTCTAATGAAAGTACAAGAAAGGTTGTCCAGTTGTCCAGTTGTGTTGAGTAAGATGAGAAGTAAAATGATGGGGTTTTCACTTTACATGAATAAAAAGGGCATACCAGTGCATGAGGCTGCTGCCAATGCGGGGTCTGGGGAGGGGTGCAAATGATTGAGATGCAAAATTTACAAGGCTAATGAATGCAAATGAGACAAATGCAAATTTTGCATCAGGTACGGAGTGCAAATTATAATTACAAACAAATGCATGCAAATCTAAACCAAGTATAATGCAAAGTATGCAAACTGTTTGAAAATGTTTTGTATCCTAAGTCTGCTTGGCTATGGAACATTTAGCATGTGTTATAGGTTTAATTAATAGAAAATAAGAGATAGGAACAGAAAGTTTAAGATTAAATTCCACAAAAACATGGGTTCATAGGGTATAAGCAGTAAAATTAAGGGAGAATTACCATATGTTCCAAGGTACAGGTATTTGTTACCATAAACTCTGCCAATTCGAGCTTCCCACCTTCCATTATGGTGATGTCTGCAAATCAAGAAATCTGGGGTTAAGACAGACTGCAAAATCACATCAACAAGAAGTAGTTGATATAATGAACTTGTGGTACAGGTGGGTACTACAGCATTGTTTGTCGTTTGAACCAGTTTTCATTACTCCATCATAACAATGATAAACATGCTACTTTTATATCCTTGTTTTCCCTTTGCACTTTATTGTACATTGTAGAAATGTCAAATTAATTAATTTACAGAGGAAAGAAGGAAAACCTAACCTGTGGAGGTGTGAGTAAATGTTCTTTGCCAAAATTTTCAACTTTTTAATGTTCATTGGTACTACACTTCATAAGTGCCTATTTTGTTAGATGGAAGTTGGAATTGACAGAGAAATTTCCCAATTCCCATATACATGAGATCAATCCCAAATCCCCAGAATCTCAATCACAAGATCACAAAACATTCTTTGGTGGTTGGAATTAGAAAAGGAAACAAGAGGCCACTACCTTGCAACCCCTCTGTATTTGGAGACTCCCCTAGAAAAACCACTGCTTTTCCTGCAAATATAAGCCATGGAAATACTTAAATTCTTCAGCACAATTTGGAATTCATTTGATCAAATATAATTTGTTTTTTTTTTTATGTAAATTGTTGAAGTTACCTCCTCAGTGATCCAATGTACTCTTCCTTTGACTGACCCTCCATTTCCTTTAGCTCTTCTTGGTATGTTGATATCTGTATTAATAGTTTGATCATATTCATCAGTTAAATCCTTAACACATCCACAATTTCTGAAACTTAGAAAAAAAAAATGAAGGTGAAAACTAAAACCAAGGCAGTGAGAAAGAAAAAGGCTTGCCGGAAAGTTGAGGATGGTATCTTGTCCCCAGTACTTCAGTGCTGCCAAGTCATACGCATGTGCTGCTGCTTCCTCTTCGTTGTAGGCCCCTGATAAAGCCAAAACCCCAATCTGGGTAAGTCACGACACTCAGACATGAAAAGTACTCCTCTAAATCAAAAAAATGGAAATTCTTTTTTTTTCTACTTCCAAATTTGGTTTGGGTAGTTTCTTGGAGTTAATTTTAATTATTATTTATTTGATTTTCCTGAACTCTTGTTTTCAACAGAAATTGCAGTACAGAAGTATACCAATCAAACTTACCAAGATAGACTGTTCATATGGATCCATCATGGCAAACCCAGTAGGAGGAAAACCAAACAAAATTAGTTAATTAATTTTTTGAATACTGAAACATACTACTTCAGTAGAGTAGAAGGATACAAAGAAGAATATAATCACAGAAAGAGGTGATGAGGAACCTTGTCTTCCTTTTTTGTTCTGGGATTCATTCCAGCAATTCTTATCCCACAGATGAGCTTCATATCGACCAGTCCAACGATGCCTGGAACAATAACAAAACACCCAATAAGAAGAAGGCGAGAAATGACCAGAAAAGAAAGAAAGTTCGGTCCACCCATGAACAGAATTCGACCGACCAACCTTGTGACTCCACGGAAGATGGAGCTACGTTGAGGGGGAGATTCTCTTGGGGCACTCTTCCTCGTTCTTTTCACTCTTGTGGGTTCGTCGTTGATGATACTAGAATTACTAATGTTTGCAGTGTTTATCTGGCTTTGCGGTGTTCTCTTCGCCATTAAAATTGAGCAGCAGTGTGTACGATAAAGTGAGTACAGAAACGAAAAGGAAGATCTAAAATCGGAGAGATGGAGAAACAGAAGCTGGGATTTTGGAAGGGAGTGTGCTGGCGGGTAAGCGGCAGCCGGCGGGAAGGAAGGATTATGGGATTCTCTTGTAGTCTCTTCTCCTTTGTCTTCACTTTGTTCTTCTACTCTTGCCCAACTTCCGATCCAATTATATTGAAAGTTGAAACCCATGAAGTGGATTTCAATTTTCACCAACTTTGGCTCCTCCATGCCCCTCCTTGGCCCTAGTTAAGTGTCCCATCTCTCTCTCTCAGGTCCAATATTGGTTCGGGCTGGTCTGTATTAGCAGGTCTAATGGCTAGATGAACCTACCACAGACCGGCCCAATAATCCATTTTCAAACAGAAAGGCTTAAAAACCCAAGTATTAGCTGTGATCTGCTGGTAGGATTAAGATCCCATCAACCAATCCAACCCATTTTAACAGGACTCAGACAGCCACCCAAATTCCCCCTCCCCCGTCCCTACCCACTAAAGAAAAAAATGGTTCCTTGAGAGCTTGCTGGATCCAAGTCGGTATCTTGTAATTTTGGGTGTCCATGTGGAGATTAGAAATGACGATCCAAAAATGTGTGGCATCTTTCGGCCATTTTTTCCTTTTTTGCACTGCTTTGAACTTTCATTCTGGATGCATTTCTTTGCCCAAGCATGTACTGTATATGTGGGCCTAACTATTGATGACTCAACTTTCAAATTTGAGGTTCAGAAAGAGAGCTTCTAACCCTAATCTAACAGGAAATTGACCCATGAGGAGGCAGATAATGTCAATCTAAACAGGCATTACACAGTGTTTAAACAGTGGAGTCTTAATTAATTGGTGTGACATCAAAAGGATTGCAGTGATCAGTTGGACCTAATAGAACTCAGGGAGATTGGTTGGTTGTCAGTCAAGTTGTTTGTACTGCAGAAGAGGGATTCATGGAATACAGGTGGATATGGCTTTATTAGGGATGGCCGGGGTGAATTGGATTTAACCCTCTGGGTTTCTCTCTATTCCGGGGAGGTTTTTCTTTAGAAAGGCAACGGGGCGGAAATCATATTCGATTATGAAATTAACCCGTCCTTGTCCCCGAAAATTTGTCCTTCATCCTCGATCTTATATGGGAATGGATTTCCTGTGTGGACCCGAATCCTCGAATTTATTTTAGATAATAGTATTTATTTAAAGAATAAATTTATTTAAAATAAATAAAAATTTTAAAGTATAAATAATTTTTTAAATATATTTTGATATATATAATATAAATAATATAATAATATATATAATATAAATAATATATATACATAATCGGGGTCGGGGTGGGGCAGGGACCTCAATCCCTATCCTCAACCCCGACCCTGATCAAGGATTCCTATTATTCCCTGTCCCTGTTCCCGCCCCACCAAAACAATCTCCATACCCAACCCCATCAAGTCGGGGATGGGGAAAATTGCCATCCCTAGAGTGGTGGTGTGTGTGGG